CGAAGGGCAGGGGTGCGGAGGCGGGGCGGCGGGAGGTGCGCTGTGGGGTGCAAGGGACCCGAGGCGAACACGCACGTCGCTGCGTCCTGCAGGCCTGGTGTCCGTGACACGGCCGCCCGCGACAGCAGCGGAACGGGGTGGACAATGAGGGGCCCTCCTGCTGCTGCTGCGGCGTTTCTTTAATAGCCAATTCCAGAAAGATCGGCGCTGAGAAGGCGGCAATTGCATCACCGGAACACAGCGTTATTTTATGCATTAGAGAGTACTCTAGATCAGTTGTTTTTGTAAACTGAAGCAGTTACTTGAAGAATCATATTTACATACCACGTAAGGCTCTAGGAAAAATAATTAAAGAATGTTAAAAATGTGTTCTGCTTTATGCTTAAGTGCTGGCTTTTCAACACCGATTAGAATAATGCATCTAAAATCCAAATATAAAGGCAGTTACATTAACGGTTGCCTCAGTGTCCTTTTTTTTTTTTTCTTTAAGCAGAGCACCTCTCAGGAATACGCTCTTCAAAAGTGGAAAGAGCCCATTCTACAATGATGAATGCCGACATGGATGGTATAAGTTCTTACTGTTCTTCACCATTATTCTTTCTACTTAATGTAATTTCCAACTGTTTCAGAGGTTGCATTAAAACTCATATGATTTATTGCAGCTGTTGAGGCTGAGAATCAGGTGGAATTAGAAGAGAAAACACGGCTTATTAATCAAGTTTTGGAACTACAGCACACACTTGAAGGTTAGCAGTTATCTGACATACCAGATTTTTTTACAAGCACACAGTAATAAGCGAAAGAAGAGAACCTTACTGTTCTGCCCTACCTTAGTCAGTGTCCAGAAGTATGTCACTTCGGCAGTTGAAGGTACATAAGCAAGGTCTCAGAACTATTTTTTTTTCCTCTTTATGCAACGTAATGTTTGCTCGACTCTCGTAATACACATCAAGCAGAAGGGGCAATACGGTTAACTTTCCCAGGCTCATTTAGTTGAATACATCTTTGAGTCTGCTCATCACTGAACTTTTGTTTCCAGATAGTTTACTTTGCAATAGTTTAATTCAAAAATTCAAGAAAAGAACAAAGATACAGACTAACAATAAGTTTGTGTAACAACTTGGTCAAAATACTGTAGTACAAAATAGTACAGGAAAAATGGGCTTTAGATAAAACTTGTGAGTAGTACAGTGTTTTGTAAGATAATGCCTTATGGCAAAGTTTCCTGCATTAAAAGTGTGAATAGTTTGATGTAGGCACACAGAACATATTCATTATTGTATGCAACAGTGTCTAATATTTTTCTTATAATATCACCTTCACAGATCTCTCGGCACGAGTAGATGCTGTTAAGGAAGAAAACTTGAAACTGAAATCAGAAAACCAAGTTCTTGGACAGTATATAGAAAATCTGATGTCAGCGTCTAGTGTTTTCCAAACAACTGACACAAAAAGCAAAAGGAAGTAAGGGTTGACTCACAGATGATGTCATTGTATTGCTGCTGTCTTTTTTTGTTTTAATTGGCATAGGCTACATGAGCTAAAATACCTTAGTTTGTGGCTTTACTGGATACCTGAAGATTATAAACTTTGGTGATAAACAGAATTAAGAACATTATCATGAACAGGAGACATAAATTGTGTATTGTTAAGATTAAGCAATGTGCAAATGTAGCGTAGAGACTTACTAAACTTTTGTATTTGTTTTAAAAATGAGCGTATCTTGTTAAAAATGGGATTCAGTTTGTCAGGTTAAACAAAAGTCTGTTGGCGCTCTTTGAGGTCTTAGGGGAGTGTTCTTGACTAGCAAAATAATACAGTTACAATATTGTGTTGAAACCTCATTTGGTAAGAATATTCAAAGTCTAACTGCATCACCTTTTTCACCTCAAATATATTTGGATTACTGTACAGTACTGTCCATAGCTCTGCAAAGCAGCTTTCAACAAAAAAACAGTTAAGAATTTCTATGAAGTAATAACAGTATGACATTATTTGCAGGGCTTGTGTACAGAAAAACGCTTAAGATTTTTTGGGAAAGGGGAGGGTAAGGGAAGAGGAACAAAGATAAGTAACTTATATCAGGGAATTACCAAATTGATGCAGTATCAGAGTGTTTGTAAGATGTACACTTCAAATAATTTTCACTTTCCTCTTTCCTCAAAGAATGATCAGGCACAGCATCATGATGTATGATCTTCCTGAAGTTTTTTCAGTTGTGTGATGAAGAGTTAAATAAAAACCTGAGTAATAAGCTTTACAGAAACAGAAGGTCAACAGTGTTCCTCATGCTTGTTGTGAACAATCTGCAGTGAGGAACTGAGAACAAGTCTTTTCTTGCCACCTTTTACTTTCCTCCTGAAGTGCCAAACTTGTCTTTGCTTCAGGCCTTAGAGCAACTGTTTTCCTGCCCCAGAGCCTGAGCTTGTGAAGTACCTCTTGAAGCACTGCACAAAAACATCTAAGGCAAAAGACTGCAGTGGAACAAAGGTGGCTTTTGCCTCTCAAATCTCTGCTGCTCTGAGCAATGTCTAGTGTCAAGGTGCCCTGCTTTTTACTGGCTTGGCTGTTTGTTAGCAGGTTTTGTAAAGGAGCTCAGCCCAGATTACGGGTCTGAGCACTTCCCATAGAGGCAGCGTGTCTAGCATAATCAGTATTAAGGGAGAGCAGAAGCTAAGTACAAACAATGATCTAAGTTTCAGCAGTACTCGGTTGCATCTGTTTCATCTTGCCATACAGCAGCATTGCAGACTTATTTATGGATGTTACCTAGAACTGAGGTCTGTCTCTTAGTAATGAAGCCATTGTACTTTACCTTTTAACGAAAGGAAACCACTAGTTCAAGGATCTCTTTCAACGTTGCTGTGATGAATTCTATAAAATAAAGCTGCAGGAACTGAATGAGTGGATGTAATAGTAAAATAAATCCCTCTCAAACCCCAAGCTTCTTGGCAGCTAAGCACTGCTGTGTCTCCAGTGTAAGCTGACATTGTGAGGTTCCACCCTCCCAAGGAGAGGTCTCCCGTTTCTCCCCATTTGAGATGACTGTACAACGCTCACTGGAGTGTCAGCAAAGTCAAATGACTGCAAACAAAGCACTAATAGTTCTGTCTCGAGGGCTGTTTATAAGTCTGAGTCAAGAAATATGATGATGAAGAAGGTTTTACCCACCAAGGCACAAATGGCTGATACCGTTTCTGTCATGGGGTCCTGTAAACATCCAAAATTATTTTTAATCTATGGACTACTCTCTCACTTTACTGCGTATCTGGAACTCTAAATTCATCCAAGAATTGCTAGCAGGTAGAGTAGATCACATGGTTAGTCCAGGGTTTGAGCATTAAAAAAACCGAACAATCACACCAAGCACTTGACTTCTAAAGATTGCATTGCATTACAACCATCCTAGCTTTAAAGCCATGTCACTGCACATCTCCATCTGCACTGTAGGAGAACAAGTGGTAACAGAGCATGCGCTTGTTAGACTTCAGCAATTTCCCGAGATCAAAGTGATCTTAAAATCATGGTTTTGTATTGTAAGATTGGATAGTGATATTTTATCCATCGGTGTGTATATAGTAGTCATTTCATCTATATACCATTTTACGTCCCACTACTGTGGCCTTCACTTAACTTATGAACATTTTAAAGATGTAGTATTTCTGACTTTACACTAAATAAAAAATTCTGATTTGTCTCGATTAGTTTGGTTTAACATTTGTAAACCCCAAAACTTCTCGTAACTATCTGTAGTCAAAAGGTGGAAAAGTAGTAGGGTTTGCCATCTACATGGCAAGAGGTGTCTGAATAGCTGTTTCTACATCGCTGAAGTGTCAGAAAGACTAGATGTAATTAGCAAGTATTAAGATTAAACCTGGGTTAATTAATTTATTTTCAGCAAGCTTCCAGTTCCTGACGCACTTGGTATTTTCACCCATGAATCTTACATTTCTGTGTATTTTTCTGTTCTGGCTAAAGGAAAAAAAAGGATTGGTAAACTGCATCCAGTGTTGTCAAAGCTAAAACTTACACCTCTCCACACGGGAGAACTTTAAGCCAAGTCAGAATAGAAGAGATACCTTTTCCTACACAGGTAATGAGCTCTACATTAGACAGAAACCAGAATTATTACTTCATCATACCTTCATGAAGGTGGAAGCTAACTGAGGAGTAGCTTCAGTCGTGATTAAATAAAAAGTCATCAGTCCTACTTAGCCTTCCCTAAATACAGAAAATTCTCAGTCTGGGATTTGGTGTCCTCAGTAAGACCACTTTTACTAAGCTACAATGTAGCTGGTGGGAGCATAGACTGGGGAGGTCTGATACTCAAGGAGTTCCAAAGATGACTGAGTTTTAATAGCAAGGCATCCTGCAACTGGATTTAGTTTGTTAATTTCAAAGCATTTTCAAGCAGCCATGATAGCAAGATCAAGTATTTTTCCCAAAATACCTGTTCAGATATAAATGGACTACATGCAGGAACTGGGGTGAAATCTCAATGTTACAAGTCTCAATGGAAGGGGGTTCCCCTTCTGCCTGGCTTTCTAGATCTAGATCCTCAAATCCCCAAAGCTCTGATATTTCTCCCCTAATTACTAGCATAAGAATAGATCCCAAGTAAGCTGATGTGCAGAAGGATGTCTTCTATCTCCAGATTCCAGGTAGTCGAAGTCATTAAGTCAGTATTAAAGTGAGATAGGCCTTAGAGAGTCAGTAGTATTGCAAACAGCACCCTTGAGTCATGGCCTCACAAGACCATTTTACCCATAATAAATGGCTCCTTATTTACTGAAGTGAGGTACAAGCAAAAATGTTGATGGGGCATTAAGACTTTATGGGAACCTTAAGTTCAAAACCCTAAGGGAAGACTAACATCTCCTATGGGGTGAACCAATCCCTGGAGTAACTATATCACATCAACCAACCAAAAAAAAAAAGAAACAAACAAAACCCAACTCCAAAACCACACCCAAAATGCTGTAACAATTCCAAAGGACTTTCACCAGGCTCAGACATTGAAAAGGAGTGCTGAAATGCTCCCTGACAGCTCACAGTAGCTGTTGTTAGCAGGATACCGCATTGGTAACAACTTCTATCTATTGCTGAAAAGTCACAAGCAGGAGGAGGAATTTGGAGTCCTCACTTCTTATCTTTTGCATGTAGACCCTAAATAAAGAGGAGGGAACTTGCATTTAACTTTAAAAAAAACCCCAAAACCCAAAAGAAAACCCCACACCAAACCAAAACCCAAAAACCAACAAAAAAATCAGAGGCCTTTCCATGTAGGTCACACAAAATAGAGTCCAATATAATTAACTTTCGAACACTTCAACACAAGCACTTGAAGACACTGGCTTCTTCATTAGGGTTAATTAAGCATTCATTTGTTAGAGACTTCCATGGAATCTTTGCTGACTCGATTTGCTGTGAAAGTATTTCTTTCTTAAGTGAACTAACTTCTTGCCAGGCACAAGGAAATCTGTTAGGTTCCTTATGCATTAATGTATTTCTACTTGTTTTTAACGTATGACTGCTATTGCTAGCATTTTACATCCTACTAATATTACAGGCAGCTGCCAAGCAGCAAGAGGTTTCTGGTGACTGCAGTTTTATTGCCTGTTTTAATATACAACTGAACTTCAACAAAACAAAGTTTATTTTACAATATGCAGTTTATTTAAACTATATTATGAGAATGCCCAGTTACTCACATCTGTAAAAAACTTAATCCATCAAAAATTCTTATCTATATTAATAAATTTCATGTTAAGCAAGAATTATTAAATATTTTTAGGAGACAATGTACACTTAGCAAGAATTCTATAAACAGAGGTTATACCACTCTGGCTTGGAACATGAGAATTATAAAAGTTTGAAAAAAATTATCTGTATATCACTTCTGCAGATTTGATATCTGCATTCAAAAGTAAAACAAGTCACATCAATTACCACTTGTTCTATGAGTATTCTATTTTAAAATATCTTTTAAAAATAAATTATTGTAACCAATGTCTAAAGTGAACAGGTGACCACCCATGTAACAAGATCAACTAAAATAAATAATTTACAATAAAAATTGTTGCTAGCACTAAATTATCATACAAAAACCAATTATTGCATTTAGCTCTGCACAGAAAAAAATACCTTTTCTCATAGCAATGTGAACTGCTATAGATGCTACATCTATACTATCATTCTCTTTTAACTGAAAAGTGTAAACAGCTAATTTTGTGGTAGAGCTGCAAAAGTATTATAATTTATTCATGTTTTTAAAAAATATTTAGAGTAAGTTTATCTCCAACTAATACTAATTTCTAGGAATCTTCAAATCTTAAGAATCTTCACCTTAAAACCAGTTGGCCAACTTGTAACTTCACTTTTATTCTGAATTTGAAACATGAGCTAACTCCTCACAGATAGTATTTCTCCTTAAAAAAGGGAATTAAGGAAGTTTGGGAAGGTTAAAAGAGGTTAGAGAATTAAAATAGGAGGTTAAGTAGCAATGAGTCCCCCTTTTTCCTTCAAATCTCAGGAACTTGCATGCTGTCAGGCCCACTGAAGTGGCATACCAAAAGTTACTATTCTCTAGATCTACAAATACTAGCTGGAAGTAACTCAGTCCTTTCGTACTCTTCTCTTGCGCACTGATTTCAGTGGACCATCTCCAGAACCTATGCTTTCATCAGCTTCTTTCATCTGAAAAAAAAAAAAAAAATTCAGCATTAAAATGTTAAACCAATTTTAATTTAATTATTGAAACTGGCATGTTACTTTCTTCCTCCTCCTGACCCCCCCAATCATATTATCATTAAATGCAACACTTAAGTGATAGGACATTTTTTTTCCACAATACTAATCTAACAATAAAGTGGGTAGAAGACTCTTCCTTTCTATATTTAGAAGGAAGAGAATAGTACATCAAACTGATGTCAGAAATTTGGTTTTGCCCATTTACTCACTGGTTTAAAAGTGGTGGCTTATTAATGAATTTAGCAACTTCCTTAAAGCGCATCTTATGCTAATTTTAATTTCTACTTCCTAACCAAGAAGCATTTAAAACATTCCAATTGCTGCCTTTGGAGAGCTACAAATAGAACAAACTGTTCTTAAATCAGATGTGTTCTTCTCAGTTTAAAAGTGATTAGCTTACAGAGGTGCATGAAAAGCCTTCCCAACATGAACTCCATCCTCAGACAATGCACTGCTTCCTCACTTTCCTGCATCACCTAATGGCAAGCACCTGATTCAGAAGGAGCAGCTCACAGAATGTGGCACAACCTGAGTAAGGACATGGTGTGCATGACATCTCCCAAGTAGGTCACTAGCTAACTCATGACAGAAACTTGTACACCCTGAAAATACCCAGAGAAGAGCAAGCTGTAACCTCATTGTGATATTGTGTAATGGCATACACACATTCAGATCTTGTTATTACTTTCACAAAGAGTCACATGCATCTTAATGGTGTTCATCAGATACTGTATTCCTAGGTAAATATACAAGGGGAAAAAAAAAACCTTCTTACAGGAACAAGAGGAAGTACTGAATAAGGGATAATTAATGAAGAATTTCAGTGCTGAAACAATGCAAACTCATGCAAGGTACAGTTTCCTAGAGGAGTTTTATATGAAAAGGAGTCAACATTACATTAAACCACTCCCCTAATCTGGGAAGGGACTCATTTAGGGAGTGACAAGCAGAAGATGACCAACAGAAATGGTATGGGTGGATCTAAAGCGTTTCAGACATACCAGAGTTTCTAAATGGAAGGATAATGAGTAGTTGATGAGCAAGAAAAGCACACACAAATTCCATTCTACAATGTTATTTTCTGAAAAACACTTTATAGATTATCTGGTGACTGGATTAATCTGCACAAGAAAAATGAAACTGCAGGTGTCAAATTCAAAACCAGTATGGTCATTTTGCTTAAAACCTTATTTTGGAATCAAAAAAAAAAAAAAAAAAAAAAAAAAAAAAAAAAAAAAGATAACTGAAAGCTTAAGGTTTTCCTAGGTCTCACTGAAAGGCTATTTGGTTAGAAGCACATATTCCGTCAATTAAGTAGCATGATAAAAAGAGACTGACATCTACTGCAGCATCCAAATTTTCAAGCCTTGCAATTCATTTGATAAGCTGTTAAAAACCTATACTCCTGTAAAAACATTTCATGTTTAGAGACCTGCATGATACTATACCTGTATTTTACAATAAGTATCACCTCCTAGCCAAAATTACACAGAAAGATGTATGTTTCACAAACCTATTCGGAGTATTTGAGGTGTCAAACTCAAATAAAAACACATCCCCACCTCATGATTTGTTTTATGGCTGAACAGAAGAAAACTCTTGTTGTAGGTAACGGGGCTCAGTTAGAAGTGCAATGTTGGACAAGGGCAAAGAGAAAATAGGGGAAAAAAACCCCAAACTTACCTCATCTTCTGAACCAGATTTATTTGACTTATCGCCTTCTTCTTGACTTCCATCTGCAACTTCATTTTCTTCTTTTTCACCAATATCTTCACCTCCTTCACCCTCATCTTCTGCAGAAGAAATAAATTAATTTTACTTTGTAAACAGAACTATATTAAAAATGCACTATATCCAGACACACTAGTAAGAAAAAGAAGCCAGTTTCAGTCTTAGAATGAACTGCTTGTTTACAATAACCCATAAAACCATCTCTGTGATACAGAGAGTAGAATTCTCACGAATTAGTAGAAATTTATCACTGTCAGATTTAATAACCAATTTTAACAGCTTCAGCCTAGCCTCTTTTCACAATAGCACATACTCTCTTCAGACTTGTAAGTGACCAACTAAAATGATGACCTTAAGTTGGTTTCCTTCAAGGAAGTCCTCAAATCCAAGTATTGTATTAGAGAGTTTTGAGACCAGAGTCCAAAATAGGACAACTCAGGCATCCCAAATCTGACTAATTCTGACTTAGACAGCAAAGTACAATATCGCAGTTATCAGTCATCCATCATGGGGGACGCCTACATCTTAAGAGAACTCCCCTTTTCAGCAGGGAATTCTTTTGGCATACTGTTTTGGTTGAGGGATAAGCAGCTCTGTGCTTACCCCCTTCTTAGGCATTATTGCAATGCAGAAACTAGTCAGAAAAGCATTGTACTCCCCTCAGCTCACTCAAAGTATGTCCAGCTTGCATACTAGGATAAAACTATTCACGAAAAGCAGTAAGCTTTCTATGAGACCTGGTGTCAGTTTGACCTTTGAACTGACAGGGACTGGAGAGGGGGAAAAAAAAGTAAAAAAAAAAAAAGTACCTTTTTACTCTCCAGAATTCCCTGGACAAACTATAGGCTAAGCAACACAGAGGCAGTTTCTACTTTTTCTGACTGAGGCCATGCCGCTGCACTAAAGAGCAGTGCATGCACCAAATATTGCGAATTCTAGGCTGCTCTCTGATCAGCACGTAGGTTGCCCTTCTAGGATAACCAACTCTCTATATTCTGCATATTTTGTGAAGGAAGCCAGACACCCAACTGTTTTGATTTCCACTTTAGGCTTCAGTAGTTACAAGCTGGCACTCCCATGCCTGCATTTCAGGTATCTATGCTCATTATAAGAACTAAACCTCAGCAACCACAGCATGATTCAAAGAAAAGTTACTGGGGTTTGGCAAGTCTCTTCCTTTACTTCAAACTGAGGTCTTGAAGTGAGAATTTCTAGAAATTGAGTACCTTTTGCAATGTTTTCTATCAAGAGTAAACAAGAAATCATATCTAAATCTGATAGAAAGGATGTAAGATGGCACTTTACAACTTAACAGTCTGTCAGTGGCTCAGCTAAAAACAGTAATGAAGCAGTGCTCAACTCTATCCTTGTCAGGTCATGCCTACATCTCATTAGCACTTCAGCCTTAAAAAAACCAAAAAAACAAAACCAAAGAGCCAACACCCACCCCCTGTTTCAGCTCAGTAAAACTGAAACAAAAGTAACCATATAAATTCAGATGGTAGTCACGTGTAAGATGCAACTCTCCCAATTCTTGGTGACGAAAATCTAGAAAACCCTGATTTATTAAAATATTTGAGACTTCTGTAGGAGTACCAAAAAACTTTGCCTACAGTATAGCTATAAATTGAGCCAAACAGTTCATAATAATTACTGAAGCTCTAAGAAATTAGTTTTCCCATCTGTAAATACACCTGATACAGGTCTACAATAACATGTCTCTGCTATTGTCATCAGAAGGAGAAATAGGACAAAAAAAGGGAGATCATAGTTTAAGATAAATGTAGACAAAGATTTCTGTTCTAAAAATAAGCCCTTAACAGAAGAGCTTGGCAAAAATTCAAAGCCTTTGCTCATATTCTAATGAAGAGATTAGAAATTTTGAATTATGCAAATCCAGCACCTCCCGTAAGTACTAGTTTCAACAGAGGGGAAAAACCAAAACAAACCAAAAAACTTCAGACATCAGAAGTAGTAAACGGCAGAACTGGACAACTATACTATTTAAAATTATTAATTTTAATTTAGTCTAATATGAATTTAAATGGTATTTCAATAAATAAATGTATTCACAAATAAGGTTCAGACTGTGCCCCTGAAATTCCATTTCTTGTCAGCATTCTTCTACTTCCTGGAATATTTTTCTAGAGGGCAAGGAAAGCAAGGAAACAAAGCAGATGAGCAGACAAGTCAAGAACGCATCATCCTTTAGCAATGTCACAAAAATTAACACAGAACAAAATAAAACAGTAAATCCCATGGACAATGCCCTTCAAGAAGCACTCTGCCAGCAACTCATTCTCACTGGAGCCAAAGAAATCTACAAGTGTTTCTGAAATTTGCTGTTGTGCCACGCTTTTTCTTCTTTTTTTTTTTTTCTTTTTTTAATAGCCCCATGATAACATGTGGATCTCAAGTCATTCAGTATTCCACAGCTCAAACCCCGTTACCTTCAACTCCAGAAAACAAACAAACAGATAATGACTATAAAGGAATTGTAAAGATTATTAGGATCCAAAGAGACTAACAGAAAATATTTATGACTACAGATACCAACTGAGAAATCTCAGAGGAAACACATCCGTGTCTGATGAAGGCTGGCATGCACCAGCTTGAAGTTCTACCATCAACAAGGTGGCAGAGGGGAAAAAAAACCAGAAAGGAGAGACCATTTTCAAGTCCTGGCCCAAATTACTTCCCTTTCCCAGAACCTGAAGGAGAAGCCTCCCTTCCCATCTTCTTTGTATCCTTTATAAGCTCTCTTTTTGTCTCCTCCATTTCTCTTCTCTCTGTAGCAAAAAGAATCAGCAGAAGGAGGCAGAAGACAAATTCTCTAATGCTTTCAGATACGAAGAGGCAAAAGAGTGATAGAAAAAAAGGAAAGATTTCAACCTGCAAATGTAAAAGGTGGCAGGAAGCTAAGGGAAGCTAAGCAATTCTTCTTGAAGAAAGAGAAACCAGGAAGTCCTATGACAGCAAAGTGTAATCCTTCCCTCTGAAGCCTAGAATTTACTTGAAAACCTTGGAATAGTTACACAAAAGCTAGCTATGTCGGTTTTACTCTGTGTTCAATCTAGTAACGAAAAGTAAAGGTCTAAAATGAAACATACTTTTGAAACATCATGAACAACTGTTCCAAGTGGAATTCTTTAAAAAAGTCGTGGGAGCTAAACAGTGTTCCTCTGCAATTGCCTGGACCTTATTTGTAACATTCAAACACACACTTTAACGTATTATTTATTAAGTGATGTGTTGTAATTAACTAAATTTAACAGACTGACTTAACAGAAGGATATTGGAATTCAGGTATCTCAGACAGCCTTGCAACAGTAGCATACTAGGTACAAAACATATCTATGATCTGCATCAAGACTGGGTAAAAGAAAACAGGTTCTGTAATTGAAGAGCAAAGAGCAGAAAAAGTACAGGAAGGTCAAAAGGAAAATGTAGGAAGATACAGTGCTGAAATGCTGTACCTACTATTTATGCTAATATAAAAAATATACATATCATAACTAAAATAATTAAATGCCTAGGTAAGGCTCTCGCATGGTAAGGCAGATGGACTAAGTTTGGTGTGGCAAGCATTGTGCCAACAACGTACTCAATTCTGTAAGTACTGGCATGGGAACATCTGATGCTGAGTAAACTTTTAAGTCATGCACGCAGAAGCCATCAGCACTCATGGAACATAGTGCAGAGACAGACAAAACCCACAAAGTTTCAGTCAGTAATACACAGTGATGTCAGTACTACGAAAAAAACCAACCCATGAATGTCTGCTAGGTTTCTAACTTTCCATGCCAGTCACTTCTCACTTTCTTTGTTCCTACCAAGGAAGAGTGAAGTAAGAGGCAGAATCTTGCAAAGGTCTAAGGCTAAGGATTTTCTCATGGCAGCCAAGGTAATGCACTGTGAGTTAGGCAATTTGCTTTTTATTCACTACAATAGACTCAGGGAAATGCTAACAGAACATAAAAGCCATAGCTGAATAGTACCAGTAATCTTTGACACAGTAACACAAGATTATTTTATTCTTGGATGCCAAAGTATAGCTCAACCTACTGAATCGTTGATTTCTCCCTTGGGCAAGAAGGACAGACCTCTGCAGGCATACAATGCATTGCTAGAAAGCAACACGAAGCAGCAGACTTCAGTATTTCAAGTCTACTGTATTTTCAGGCTTTAACAGAGTTACTAAAATCAGTAACCAACAGAATAGTTCAAGGTACAGCCCTCCCACAGAGGAGTAAGCAGAAAGACTTATGTTAAAGATTTAAAGCTATAGCAGAAACATTTTAAAGACAACAATGTGACTTTAACCAATTCAGGTACATATATCTGAACCATTCAGATGTGTTCAATATATGAAATATTTAGAAGGGAGAAAATATGTATCACTGTCTACAAACATAAAAAGACTGTCGGGAACACATTAATTTCTTAAAAGTGAAAAAATACCGAGGAGAGCCTTACTTTCTGCTTGTATTTATCAAAGAGCTACTAGCCATGGAATGCCACTCGCTGGAGGTTGTCAAAGAGAAAAAGAAGACTCAGAGCAAGGCAGGTTTTGTATATTCTAAGATAACTGGTTGTAATTATTGGCAATGCAATCCATGAACTAGTCCTATTCATGCCTTTATATTTAATCAAACTGCAAGCTGGCTTGCTCATCTTACCATCTTCAGCAGTATCTTCATTTTCTTTTTCTTCTTCTAATTCTATTTCATCATCTTCTAACTCCTCTCTCTCTTGGTTTAGTTCTCCCTTTGTAATTGGCTTAGATATATCAGTTTTTTTGAAGTCAGTATCTTCACCTGTTTTCTACAACAAATTAAAAATCAATTTATATTTAAACTCAAATTAAGAATTAAACACAACAGCCACTGTAAGCTAAGTAATATCAATGGCATATTAAAAGTGTATATTGTTGCACAGATATTAAGAGTTTTCAAATAAAGTATTAAGGATAAAACCAAATAAAAAAATATAGTAAATTTCTCTAACCTTTGCTGGCCAGCAGAACAACACACCTAGACCAACAGGGAGAGCAAGAGTCAAGATGTAAAGAACCCAGAGCCATGGGTGGTCTTCTGCAGCAGTCACCAGTTGACTAAACATACCAGGCTATATTAAAAACAATTAAAAAAAAAAAAAAAAAGAGGAAGATTTTGTGTTTACATCCCTCTCAACACTTCAGTAAGTTTATAAAGTGTACTGTATATATTTTAAGCCTTATGTTGTCCAAAGAAACCCCTTCTTTACCTTTGCTTTTTAATGACTAACACAATATTGGATTTCAATACTACTAAAGTAACAACTTGACAGATTGCAAATAATTAGCAGGTGCTAAATAAGAAGGAACAAACCTGGTACTCCAATCATACTAGACTGGCCACTACTCAATTTTGTAAAGCGACATTTGGATTCTTGGCAACCTCACACTTTACACCCTTCCCAGCGACTGTATTTTTTCCCCACGCTGTGCTAACTCAGCTGAAAGCTCCCAAAGCATCAAGAACCTCAGAGCAGCAGCCAGCCTCCTGAAGAGCAATGTTTTGCTCCATCTGTACTACCGCGTTCCCTCCTTTGACAGCCAATTATTCAGGGAGTAAATTGTCCTCCCAGCCCAGTTCTGACTTACACAGCAGAGGTAGGTAGGCAAGTGCCTGGTTCAGTAAGACCTCTGGAAAGGGTGCATCAGCAACTAAGGTAGGAAGTTTGAGAGGCACAGTGGAGTGAGGGGACTCAAGGGAATATTTTTTGCTATTGTGTGTACAGGTATAGATGCAGGTCCAAACATAAAACCAAACATTTCAGAAAAGGGCAAGGTTGTGGGAGGAGGCGGCTTTCCTTATTGCATGGGCAGATACACAGTTGCTACTTGCTGATCCTATGACAAACAGCAGCTGTCAGGAATTGGCCACATTTGCCACCAACCCATCATTTCTTTCCCACAACTGCAGGCCTGCTCTTGCCATTCAATCAAAGAAAAGAGAGGACTGTTAGAAAGAAGCTGTAGTCGGTAAAGGCAGCCACTAGAGGGGCCCATGATCCCGTACGTCAGGACAAGTTCATCCTACAGCATAGGAAAGAGATCTAGAAAAAAATCTGGCAGCTGGCCAAGTGTAGTATACAAACAAGATGTGGATGCGGGCATAGAAACAGAAGAACAGATGCAGCTCCATAAACATACGTGCACTATTTTCAGAGCTGCATAATATACACCTACACAGCCAAAGACCTAAAATTATTAAACAGAAAAAACACATGACTATTTATCCATTACTCACAGGAGGGAAACATCTAAAGAATATATATAATGCAGTTAGCCACAAGTGAAAAGAAAAAAAAAAAAGAAAAAAAAAAAAGGTCTTTGAGTGTAAGTAACTCAGCTTCCACTTGCTGACAGGTACTGAATTTCTAGTATCACCAGGAACAGCAGAAGACTCATTAACTATAATGAAGCCAATTTCTCACTAGGTGTTTAAGTAAAATGTTGTACCCTTTTAATTTCAAGAGGATATTGATCTGGGAAAGGTAAAAAGCCAAACTACAAGAAAAAAAAAAAACTATCATAGTTATTCAGCAAGATTATTAATTGAATACAAATTAATATTCTGTCAACATTAATTGACAGAAAATTCTTCCAACAGCACATCTTCCTCACTACTTTTGGCTATCAAGAACATAGTAAAGCTTATACCTCATTAGCACTTGCTACTAATTTCTTCAAGCCCCAGCCATCTGCTGCCCAACGATCTGCTACTTCTTTTTCTGAACATATAATGAAGTTATCAAAGTAGATATCAGACGTCATAGACCAGAGTTCTAAACCAATAGCACTGACAGTGGTCATCTCAAACGGGTGAAGATCTTCAAAATAGTCTGGGTTCGGTATTCTCCGAGGGCTCCAGATTCCCTTTTAAGGAAAAAAAAATGTAATCACATTACCTATACCTCACTAAAAAACAAACTGTGAAACAAATTTTAAAATACTTAGAACTTCCCGACTATTTTAAATGCATTATTTAAAAAGACAAGCAGTAGAGTTTAACCTACATAAAAACAGAATTGGAAATAGCCTATAGGATTTTGGCAGATGGGTCTCAATTTTCTGGCTTAGGGCAGACCTCTTAAAATTAATTTTTTTTGTCCATAGTGTTACAGTAATAACTGACTGTACAAAGTATCTCCGTTCTTCCTGGTACTGGTAATTCCAAGCACAGTCTTTATAAACTTCCTAGAGTAAGTCTAGCAATCAAATTTCCTAATACTGCAGGAAAATAAGACATTGGTATTACTTCTTCTTCTAGTCTCTCCTTATGTAACATATAGTTTTGGCTTTTGTTCATCAACATAGCATATACATTTTTGTAAGGGCACTGGTCAATAGTTTGTGGCCAGTGATGGAATCTTCTGAGGTAAGCATCTATTGTCTGGTGGCCTAAGACTGCAGGGGAACTACATCCCGTGATCCACACAGTCCCTTCCAGTGTACATATACATGTGTATATATAAAATATAATTTTTTTTTTTTTATATATATGTGTGTGT